TTCCACCGCTGGACTAACGGGCGTGCCGTGTCGGCGATATGTACTTCAGGAACCGAGAGTAACGGGCGACCGATTAAGAAATGCCCGGGTGTTAAACAGTCATACTCAGAGGGGTCCGACGAAAGTGGCACCAAGGGGCGTGAATTAAGGATGGCCTCTATACGGCACAATAGTGTACAAAGTTCCTCAAGTGTAAATATATGTTCACCCATTATTCGCACCATCAAATTTTTGGCAGACCGTACTGCCGCTTCCCACAACCCCCCGAAGTGGGGTGCCCCGGGTGGATTAAAGTGCCACGTACAGTGGAACCTGGCAGCGAGACGATCTTTACAGTTAGGGTCGTCAACCAATGTACGTAAAAAATTTGATGCTCCAACAAAGTTAGTACCGCAATCAGTATAAATGTCGGTGGGGAGACCCCGACGAGCGACGAATCGTTGTAAGGCCGCCAGAAATGCCTCTGTCGTCAGATCTGMCACATATTCGAGGTGAATTGCTTTTATCACAAAACAGACAAACACAGCTATGTATACCTTGTACTGACGGGCCTTGCGTAACCGATGTTCGGTCATGACCAAAGGGCCCGCGAAATCGATACCGACCCGCGAGAACGGATGGCACTCGGTCACTCGAGATGCAGGGAGATCGGACATAACTGGTTGTGGATTGACGGACACTAAACGGACGCAAGTTGTGCACTTGCTAAGAACGGTTCTAATAAGGGTATTAAGCGATAGAATCCAGTAAGAACGGTTAATAAGAGATGTCAAAATTCTCGGCCCTCCATGACCGGTAATATCKTGCCAMTGGCGAATCAATAAAATAGACATGTGGGACGACTTGCTTAATAAAATCGGGTGTTTCTGTGTCTCGGGTACATCGGCATTTAACAAACGACCGCCTACACAAATTAACCCGCGGTCATCTATAAACGGACGAAGACGTGCCACTGGTTTGATGCTGATCGGGAGATTATTTGAAAGATCGTGAAACAATTTGCCAAACGCGACCCGTTGGGAACATTTTACRACGACCACGGCGGCGTGATCCAATTCATCACGTGATAAAAAATCSGTTTTATGAGGTAGACGTCTACAGCCACTAATAAACCTATACATACGAGTGACAACACGAATCATATGAATGTAAGACGAAAACCGCGCGTACCACTCGGGTTCTGGAGGTTCTTTAGWATTAGCGATAAGCGTTGTTAATGGAGCGGTTTTCATCTCCGGCAAACCATCGGTGAGTAATTTCGGACCTAACATCGCCCATTCAGTTTCATCACGGTACAAAACGTCCGGCCCCTTCCAGTATAGTGTATGGTTTACTAGTTCAGTTGGGAAAATACCGCGTGACGCACAATCTGCAGGATTACTAGTTGACGCAATATAATTCCAATGGCAGGCGGGAAGCAAGGTCGTTACTTTATGTAYTCGGTTTGACACAAARATTTTAAAACTGTCATGAGGTAATTTAAGCCAACTTAACACGGTAGTCGAATCTGACCAGGCATAACTTTGGGTAATTCTAATTTTGCGCTCAAGTGTCAATTTAAGCCGAGCCATCCAACGAGCTAATAAGACGGCCGCACACAGTTCCAACCGTGGAATTGTTGAGGCCTTGGTTGGAGCCATCTTCGTTTTCGCACCTARCAAGGAAACTACGGGTGGTCCAGAACGACTACGAAGTCTTAAATATACGACGGCCSAAAAGCCTTTCTCAGACGCGTCACAAAACCCACACAAGTAACCTTGGACGCCTAGTTGAGTGCCAATAAAAYGCGGAATATTTACTGTTTGTAAAATCGGGAGATCCGCAACGAATCTGTTCCATACGACAACGATTTCAGGGGGCAACTGTTCATCCCAGGAAATCCCGAGTTGCCACACGCGTTGCATTAAATGTTTCGCTAAAAATATTACTGGCGCTAATAAGCCAAGCGGGTCAAATATGCGCGCAATTAATGATAACATGCCTCGCTTAGTTGTGATTAAGTTTTCGGGCTGAACGGCGTACCTAAAAGTGTCATCCCGTTGCGACCATTGGAGTCCCAGAAYTTTAGTACCTCCACCACTTTCATCRTCAAATGATAATAACCCACATGCCCGGTCCTCAGGGGGCACCTGATTTAACACCTCTATGGTGTTGCTCGACCATTTTTTCAAACTCATACCGGACCGTTTTAATACGTTTATTAAATCACACTGAAGTGAGATCGCCTCGTCTATGGTATCTCCTCCAACACAAATGTCGTCTACGTACGTACTGAACAATAATGCGTCACGTACGGCGGGGGCATCACCACAATCATGTTCGGCGATATGGTGAAGAACTCGAATGGCAAGAAAAGGAGCACAGTTCACCCCGTACGTAACGGTATTTAACTCGAATGCTTGAAGTGCGTCCTGCGGGGAAGCGCGCCATAAAATATGCTGATAACGCCTGTGTTCAGGGTCTACCAAAATTTGTCGATACATTTTGTTTATATCTGCGGTAAATGCGTAACGCGAAAGGCGAAATAGCACGAGCACATCTATCACGTCCTGTTGCAGTTTGGKACCCGAGAATAAACACTGATTGAGCGAAGCGCTCGAACTTGACTGCGCGGATGCATCAAATAYAACACGAATTTTCGCTTCGACGTCGGAAGACTTGAACACCGCGTGGTGGGGGATGAAGTATGACCCCACGGTTTTTGCTAAGGACATGTGACCTAATGACACGTACTCTGCCATGAAATTACAATATGCCTCCCGAAGACGGCTATCAGAAGCGAGCTTGCGTTCAAGTGACTCAAAGCGCTTGAGCGCTACAATGAGGCCCAATGACCAATGCGCAGGCATCGGAAACAACACCTATTTTCACGAGCCCATTTTTCCCGAACGTCTACGGTCCACCCRGTAAATTTGTTGCATGTCGACACTGCATGCGACCCCTTGCAAATGGGACACGACACGTTCGACTTCGATGTTCCCGTACTGGTCATCAACGATGAGGACTGTGGCCTCTTAAAATTATTAACACCGGAATTATAACTTTTCGGGTTGACATACGATTTTTGGAGGGCGGACTGTTTTACTGATTTRTGAACGGACTCACGCGATACACTGGGTACACACTCCAATACTTTAATACGAGATTTTACGAAGGACAATAAATC